CACTGCACACCCACATTCAAAGCTGGTACTTCTAATTGCTGCCTACAGCAGGAAATACATTGTATGTTCTGAATTAACAACATGAAGGCCACTTCTAAAAGGCATCTCTGCTTCTGTACGAAGTCACAGCAACAGTGTGGTAGTGATGGGCAACCACCCCTTTGCTCAGGTGCAGGTGTTTATGGAGGCCTTCAAGGACCAGTCTCTCAGCTCTCCCCTTTACACATGCACACACACCAAAGGGTATTGTATCTGGTAAACGTTTCTAGAGAGAAAGAGAATAATTGCACTGATACACTGGAAACCACAGCCCAACTGTCTGCTCTGTGTTTGGGGCAATATATCTTTTTGCCAGCAAGAACAGAGGGATTGTTGCCCACGCTCTACAACCCCAAGTTTCAGCTGCAGAGCACAGCCCACCCCACCATGGAGCAATGTGCTCTGTGATCCAAAGCCTAGGAGGTCAAGGGGGGCAGGACAGCAAAAAAAACAGGGAACACGGAAAATGACCTTCTGAAAGCCAGTAGCATCATGTTCTGTGCAATTCCAACCCAAGGGACAGGTTTCCTCCTGATGATGTGCAGGGCTGGGGGCTTTGCACCTGAGCCAGAAAGCCCTTTGGCTGGATACATGAAATGTGAGGCTAATGCTGGGATGTAATTCCCAACATTCATTTAGGCTTTGACTGAATATATGCATTGACACGTGCTGCTGAATTCCCAAAGCACGTGTGTTCAAGCACAGGCTTTCCCATCAAGTACAGATTTTCCTTATGCAAACCTGGGCTTCAGCAAATTCTGCCTCCTTTACTTGGAACCCCCTGAGATGTCTGCATGTACCTCAACTCCTTACAGAAAAGCAGAGGTGTACATCTTTCTAGGCATAACCTACATACACAGAAGAGCAGGAGCATTCAGGTCCAAGTTTTCAGGAAAATGTGCATTTGCTTTAGCTTAGAGCCTAAAGCTCCAAGCATATTTCAAAAAGGAGACACTGATTACTGCATTTGGCAGTTAATGGCCACTGCAGCAGAACCTGCTTCTCTGTCTGGCATAAAGACAAGAAACAGCAGGTTTGTATGACAGAAGAGTCATGTACAGTTTGCAAGCAGAACTATTTAAAAACACTGCTTATCTTTATTAGATGTTATCTCTTTTGAATAAAAACATATCAAATAGAGTTAGAATTTTTAAATTAAAATACGAAAAATGGGGAAAATATTACAAATTTTGGGATGCTCAAGCCCTTCCATGAATGTAAAAGCTATTATCAAGAAAAAGGTGTCTTAGCTTAACCAACAATTAATTTGTCTGGGGACACATGAGTTCTGCCTCTCCCTCCGAGGCTCCGATCTCCAGAGATCACCTAAACATGCACTGAGAGGTAACTCAGATAATTCCCTGAAGAGACTTCCCAAGCCTGCCTAACCCTCCAGCCCCCCTGCCAGCACAGCAGCCTGTGACCCTGCAGCACCCACCACAGCCCCTTCCCCTTCTCCCACAGCACCCTGCACTGGCTCAGCCCCCTGATGGGGGTCTCCAACATTTGCCCCCCCCACCCCGGGAACCTGTTGCCTTATAGGTCAGTAATTAATGCATCATTTTAGGGCATAAACAATGCTTTTATAAAATATTGGAAACTGTCACTTCCTCTGTGGCTCCACATGCATTTGTCATTGCACAAACACAGTCAGTCGGGGAGCCCAGGGTTCACCCCCTCCTGCCAGGCTCACCCTGTCTCACCTGAGACAGATTTGGGTGAGTCCTTCTTGGTCTGCCACACCTGTAAATCTTTCTTGTTAAAAAGCCCCACTGCTGTCACCTACTTCTCTCAATCACTTCCAGATTTAGAGTATTTCCCTCCTTTGACTGCATGAGGATTCTCTCTTGGGTTGCTAAACACACAGATCTCACGGGTCTTGCTGCCCCCAGAACACCAGCCCCTCGGGGACAGGCACGAAGGATTTGGACCCCTCTCTACAAACTAGCAGAGCTGAGATGTACCACTGCAAATTTGGAAGAAGAGCATGCAGCACCCAGTCTAACCCTGAGCACACTTTACCTCAGCGAGCACCAGGTAAGCCAAGTCAGTTCTAAGGCTCCCTGTGAGCATCCCTGTGTCTGTAGACAGCCTGTGTCTGGTTGATTTCAAAAGCCACCATCCTACCTAGGGCAGCAAATCAATACCCTGCAGCCAGACACCCTGAGATCTCAGAAATGTTCAAACTCTGATTTGACAGGCAGTCCACTTAGAAAAAGTACTGAGGGGGAGGAAAAAAAAAGAAAGTGATGGGATGAAGTACAGAGGGACAATTGCTCCTTTAGAGCAGAAACAACGTCCTGTGAGAAGCATGAGCTGAAAGAGGTCCAAGTTACAGGTTAAGAAACAAATACTGGGACAGCCCCAACAAAGCCTAAACTAGAAGTGGTCTCCAAGCAATACTGGAAGTGCTGCCTGTTGACTAACTTATCCTGAGCACTGTCCACAGGAGTGACCAAATTCTATTCTAGGTTGTCAATTTTGGAGATGTATTTTCCCCTCATTTTGGGAGAGACAATGGAGTCCAGCCAGCACTGGTCTCTCTGGGCATGGCAGGCTCCCCTAGCTGTGGTAGCAGCAGTTTCTCAGCTGCTGTCCAGCTGGGTTCTAGTTCCTCGTCTAACACTCCTGTATTCTTCCATATTCCTAAAATGAGGCAGCTTCAGTCCCTGCTGGGGTGCCCACTGCTGCTGTCCCCAGCATGGTCACCAGGCAAGTAACCCATGACCAGCATGAATTAGGAAAAAAAGTGAAATTGGGAATGAAAATACTTTTCTGCATACTGTTTGTCATTTGAAAAGAGATGAAAAATATTTCACCTAGAGCAATTAAAATACACATTTTGAAAAGCAGCGTGGTTGCTGCTCACACAAATCTGACAGTGCATTTCACTACCTCCCCAGCAACTCTTTGTTAAGAGTCACCACAGATCTAAAAACACAAATGCAGTGTTTGCAATTGTATCGTCCTGAAATTCAAGACCTCAATTACTGAGGTAAAATGGAGATAAATAAATAAGTTCACAGAAAGACTTGGGTAACTTCCCAGTTACCTCTGTGGTATCACCAGAAGCATTCCAACCCGAGCAACAGAGCTGACAGCCACATGCAGGAGGTTACAGTATGGAGAACCAGGGGGTTTCCAGGTGATCAGGCCATCCTACCTGTCAGGAGCTCTGGGTCTGCCTGCTGCTTCCCAGGATGGGCAGGTCCTCCTCAGGTCCTCCCCTGCCTCGGGACCTTCGTGCTTGTTCCCGGCCTTTCCCGCAGCCCCAGGCTCGTGTGCTCAGCTGCAGTTCCCAGCTGGCAACTCACATCGTGGGATTCCTTCCAGATTTTCCTTCAGCTGTTTTTCTAGAGGATCCATTTTCCTTCCTGGCTCCTGCACCAGCCTGCTGGGCTGGGGCTCTGTGGTCCTTGTGCTCCTTTGCCTCCAGGTGATGACACGTCCTGCTCCCTTTGCTGCCTCCCCAGCCCAGACCCTGGGGCTCAGGGACAATGTGCTTTCCATCCAGTCTTCTCCAGGTCAAACCTTTTGTTGGGACAATGTAAAGCTTTTTGCCGTCATTTAGGGAAGGCAAGTTACAAATTATTGTGCCTGGGCCATAGTCTACTGAAAACTCAACCCCCCTTCAAAAAAAAAACCCCAATGAAAAAGTCCCAGTTTGTTTCCACAAAGGGTTCAAGCACAGCTTCCCCTTGCCCTAAAACTGGGATATTCAGCTCACCATCCCACATGTCCTGTGCTATGATGAAATACTTGGGAACAAAACACTTCCTTTTCATTCACTTCTGTCATGTCACGAGTTACTCCTCTGGAATTCTTCCTGAAATCTTCTTTCAAGACAGACTTTAGAACAGTATGACTAACAACTGTAAATGGGTGACATATAAACCAGGACACGGTCACTTCTATACAGAAGCAATTTGCTGCCTGCTTAGCAGGGAACCTAAAGAGATTCAGTTTATCTGAATTAGTACAGGGCTCCCTACAGAAAGCTGAGAGCTATTTCAAGCAGCAGAGCCAGGACTTCACTGAAAGTTAGTCCAAGCAGCAGAGCCAGGACTCCTGGAAGGAGCCTGTGGCTGTGGGAGAGGGGGGGGGGGTTTGGCTTTCTTTGTCGGCGTAGCTCTAGCTTTTCAGCTCCTCAGTCCGAGGTTTCCATGGTGCAGACACCACCTGTGCAGAAATTCCCACATACTCTCCTCGTTCAGCATCAGTCTGAAAGTTCCATCTTCCATGGCCAGTAGCAAAACACAAGAGAGATCTGGGGTTGCTGAAATGGCAATGTCTCTTTTTCTGCCCCAGTAATTAGTGCTGTCTTCCTGCTGGGGACAGTAGAAGCAGTTCTAGCTTCCTCAGTGAGCTGAAACAAGGGAAAATAGAAAACCTTGGATCAAATTAAAGCACAGCTGGGCAAAAATAACAAGTGTGAAATTTCTGTAAGGGTTGTAATTATCTGTTTGAATTGTACAACTGATAAAGGATTTGTCTGGTACTCTGTTGATGACTATCAGGGAACATTCCCCTCAATGCCATCCCCACTGTGGTAACTTCTGCCACCTCTGGGAACACCAGCAGGTTGGCATTTGATCTTCTCTTTACCTGGGACAGAAGGTGGGCAGGGCAATATCCAGGGCCCTAAGGCACAGTGCTGGGAGAAACACACAGGGATAAACCACATGTCCTCCCCAGACCATTCTGCTTTTTTAGCCTGCCAACAGGACAAGCTAATGCAAGGGGTTTAATCCATCTGGGAGCGTGTCAGACAGCCCAGATGGGGGGGCACACGGAGCAGTGGCTTTAGAGATCTCCTTTGCTGGGTTATCAGGGGCACCCAGGAGACCTCCCCAATACTGCTGAAGCCTGAGCAGCAAGAGGAAGGCTCTGGTGCTTCCCAAGAGGAAAAGGGGAGACCAGAGGTGATCTGAGGGCTTACCTTTTGTGTGTGGCCTGAAGGACTATGACCAAAGAATGAAAGCTAAAGAGAAAAATAAAAACAAAAATAAAAACTGAAAAGGAGAGGGAAGAGAGGAAAAAAATGGAAGAGAAGAAAGAGAATAAGAGTTTACAGTGTGTTTAGCTGAGAAATAAGCTGTGGTTACAGACAGAGGGCAACAAAACTCTCAGTGGAAAGGAAATACAAAGTGTGAGGTGATCCCTGAGGGCCTGGGGCTCAGCTCAGCCAGAGCCCAGCACCCCTGGCTGCTGAGGGTTGTTCCTGCCCCAGCACAGCCCAGTCACAGCCAAGGGCTTGGGAAAAGTGGGGAGGAAAAAAAATGAGCTAAATTCTTCTGATACCTCAAAAAACCCCAAACCCACACTGCTAAGGTCTGGGTTTAGCTTCAGGTGAAAGTCCAGCTCAGCCCCTGTTGCACCTGAACAAGTTATGTCATGGCAGCTTCACTAGGAGTAGATGGTTTCAGATGAGGATAGAACTTAACAGTTATGGCTTGACCAGAGAAAGCTCGATGACAGTGAGAGCTGTGGCTGCAGGTGAGGAGAAGGAGCCTCCTCTTTC